ATTGTTCTCTGACTTTTCTGGATTTATGGTAAGGTGCCTGACATTAAATCAGCCTCCCCACCCTGGTGGTGGAGATTGAACGTAGGGCCTTGTGCATGCTAGGCAAACACTACCAACTGAGCTATGTCCCCAGTCCATAGATGCCTGACATTAATTTGGAGAAATTCTTAATCATTATTACTTCAGCTATTTCACCTGTTCCATTCTCTCTTTTTTTTTTTTTCTTTTTTTGCCTTTTGGTATTCCCACTATATATTTCTCATACCTTTTTTAGTTGTCCCACAGTTCTATTTTGTTATTTTAAGGTATCTGTGAAGCAGTAGAAGTACTACTTGAGATCAGATTTGGGTTCATTGTAAATAAATGTATGTTGTAAACTCCAGGGCATAACCAGTATAAGTAAAAAGAAACAAGTATAACTGATGTTAGTAAAAGAGAGAAGATGGAATTGTATAAAATAAAATGTTCAATTAAAACCATACAGTCAGAAAAACAGTGAAAGACAAAAACAGAAACAAAGGGGTTGGGGATATAGCTCAGTTGGTAGAGTGCTTGCCTTGCATGCACAAGGCCCTGGGTTCAATTCCCAGCACTGCAAAAGAAAAACAAACAAACAACAAAAATAAATAAACAAATAAAAAACAGAAACAAAGAGTAAAGCCAACAAATAGAAAACATGGTAGGCATTAATGCAACTATATCAATAATCACTTTGAATGTCAATGATGTAAATGAACCAGTTAAAAGACGTGCTGGGGCTGAGTTCAGTGGCAGAGCGCTTGCCTTCCACATGTGAGGAACTGGGTTGATCCTCAGCACCATGTAAAAAAAAAACAAATAAAACATGCTGTCCAACTACAAAATTTTTTTTTAAAACAGACACTATCAAAATGGATCAAGAAATACAAATCAGTGTATATACTATCAGTCTGAAGTCTGGCAGAGAGCTATTTATGAAATAAATAAAAGGCTTGGCTTTTCTCATTATCACCACTTTGAGTACATTATTCCAGAGAACAACTTATTACATTACCCTGTTAAATGCTTACTAATGTGGGATTAATTTTCTACTCATCAAAAATGAATCAAATTATTCTATAACTAAGCATAAAATGTAAACCAAAAATATGATTCACATGTTTAAAGAGATCCATAATTATCAACATAAAAAAGAGCCTCTCTCTGCTAATATAGTGCTTTTTAAAAGAATATAAACTGTATATTTGGTTCAGTAATTAATTCAACTAGAAGTGTACATATGAGTTGGGCACAGTGGCGCATGCCAGTAATCCCAGCAACTCAGTAGACTGAGGTAGGAGGATCACAAGTTTTAGGCCAGCCTCAGCAACCCTTGTCTCTAAATAAAATAAAAAATAAAAAAGGCTGGGGATGAGGCTCAGTGGTAAAGTGCCCCTGGGTTCAATTCCCAGTACCACAAAAAAGCAAAAGAAAAAAATAAACGTATATATTAAGAGTCAAATCCAGAACAGGTAAAATAATACTTGATGGATTTGCCTAAAATTAGTTTACTTGCTATCAATATTGCTGCCATTTTCTACTTTGAGTATACTTTTTTTAGAAAAAAGCTTAACCTGCTACTCCCCTATAATTTCATAATCATCTGGATGATCTGAATATACCAAATAATACTGATTTTTCTTGTAAAAATCAGACATCTCACAATAAGGTATGGAAAAAAATATGAAGCCACTAATAACAAAATATTTTGTCAGTATCAGAAGCAGTACCTACACAGCTGTAGATAGACAGATTAATACACAGACACATACATAAAGAGACTACAGATGAAGCATGGAATAACAGTTGGGTATGTATCCTAAACTCACAAAATAGACACAAAGAGATTACCACCAGAAAACAGGAGTGGGAAAAGAAACTAAAGGATTTGCTTTTTATTCTGTATGACTATATATGGTGTTAATTTTTATAATGAAAATACATCTTTATGTTACTTATGTTTAAAAATGAAATGTGAATACTGACAGCAATGGTGCCATACAATGAGAACAAAAGACACATTACAGACTGAAATACCCACAAAACCTCTCTCAGACAACTCATTGAAGCCAAACCCCACACATCAAAGGCTAAGTTAGCGAACCAAAGTTATGTTCCCCTGGGGTGGACATATTATAGATTTTATGCTACAAATTCACATGCTCAATATCAATTTCCATTCCACTTGCTATTGCCTCCTTTTCATTACTGTTCATAGTTCAGTGTGTCAGTTTAATTCTATACTACTTTGTAGCTATCCACAATAATTACAGTGTTTAATGCTGTATCTTAAGGTTGAGATAAATATAGCAGTTTAAATGCATATGGTTTGGCCAATCTTTTGACCAGACCTCTACACACATCAAAACCACTCACCCCACATACACTCACACATGAGCAGACTCTAGCTAATACCATATATTTCACCTTACTACTTCTCCATTACTTTCCACAGTATATCTGATGATAACATTTTTATTGACACTATAGTAAACAGCTGATAAATGTAGTAAAAATATATATACTATAATGAATCAAAATGACATGCCACCTACCAAAACCCCTCCACTCATTCTAATCAGATAATGACCTTTTCCCACCCCTAGTGTTTTACTACAAATGGAGAAAGCAGTAGGAAAAATATTCATAAAAACAGGGAAAAAATAAAAATAAATTTTTAGGTCATTGAGACTAGAAAGGAAGTATACCTAAAATATTTGTGTCAAATAAAATGATAATTTGTCAATTCTGTGTGTATTCTGCTTAATCTGAAGTTCTGAGAAACAAGTAGCTGAGTTTCACATGAATAAAAGAGCTAAAACACCACCATAAAACAGTCTTTCTGGAATTTACTCTGTAGAAAAACATGAGTTTATTTCTTTTTTTTGCTTTTTTGTTACTGTTGTCGCTAGTGATCTTCCATAAATCTAGGATCTTCCTTTGACAGAATATTTGGTTTACAAATTGAGGTGAAAATAATTCAGTACTTTTAACATTTCCTACCTTATTTTTATTAAGAAGTGTTAAAATTTTCAATGTCTATTTTTAACATTTTTGTTTTATGTTCTTTGGGGATAGAGTACATCCTTATCAAAATAAAATGAAAAGCCAAGAAAAAATAAAGAATACAACAGATAATGGAAATCTAGACTTAATCAGAAAAGTAAAAGGAGAGTAACATTTATATTTAAAAGAAGAGTTAAAAATCTGGAATTGGGCTACTGAGAATCATTTCCCAAACTCTAGAGCCTTTAAATTATAGCATATTTGGCAAGTTGCTTGCCTCTCTATCCTTAGTTTTCTTATTGGTAAAATGAGCATATAATAGTACTTAATTCTCATAAGATTCTTAGAAAATTAAATGGAATTAAATGGTGCATAGGAGATATCTAATGAATACTAGCTCTGCTTATCAGTCACAGATTTAAAACTGAGGCCTACAGAGTTTGTGTTTTCCCTGAGATAATTTAACTAGAAAATGGCAGAATTAGCATTAGAACTTCAAACCCATGATATTTTTGTACCTTTTTTTTTTTCTCTCTCTTTTCTAGTAAGATCACTTTGGGATCAGGGAACATAACTCAGTGGTAGAGAACTTGCCTAGCATGCACAAGCTGGCGAAGGGGGGCTCACTTTGTTTGTAGTCTGAAGAAATTACTTTCAAAGGAGAAGATAAGATAGCAAAAATTCCTCAGATAAGCATGGCCTAGATTTAAAAGAAGGAAGGAACTCAATGTGGGTGCCTATGTACAAATGCAGGCAAATACACACAACAAAATAAGAAATAAGAAGGATGGGTGAAAAGTGGGGGCAAGTTCTGTGACACAGCCACAAAAGTTCCACTTAGACTTTTTAATATGATATAATTCATTAGAGCATAATTACATTTCTTATTAAATGATTAATTATAAGGTTTGAAGAAAAGGTCATGTTGAATGTTAATTATACATCCTTGAAGGAATTTCAAAGATATTAACAATGGTATTCATTATAAATTAATTTAAACTCTTGGAAGGCAATTTGGCATTATATTTAAAAATTCAAAATGCATACATCCTTTCACTAACTGATATAACTAGGAAGAATTTATCCTACAATTAATTTAAATAAGTGTGCAAAAATAAAATAAAAGGATGCTGGATGCATTATCAGCAAACCAAATACTGGAAAAAATTGAAGACTTCATTAACAGGGAAATTATGATTATCATGTATCTATGTAATGGAGCTATGGGATAGTATAAATTTTCTTCTAAATAGATTATTAAATTAAAAGAATATCAAGGTATATAAGAATTTGTCCCAGGGCTAGGGTTGTGGCAAAGTGGTAGAGCACTCGCTCATCTAGCATGTGTGAGGCCCTGGGTTCAATCCTCAGCACCACATAAAAATAAATAAATAAAATAAAGGGATTATTTCCATCTACAACTAAAAAATATTTTAAAAAATTTGTCCCAGAGTAATATTTGTTTTTTTAAAACATAGAAAAAATATATTCAAATGTGTTAGTAATTCTCATAAGAAAATATTTCAAAGACATCCAAGAAAATTAAAAGTGGTTATTTCTGGAAAATAAGATTGAGGCAGGGGGCATAAAGATGGAAAACAAACAGTTATTTTCACATAGCAGAAATATATACAAACAATGCTTATATTTTAACCATATATAGGTTCAGCAACCCTAATTCAAAAATTCAAAATCTGAAATGCCCCCAAGCTGAAAATTTTGAAATTTGGGGGTTAAGTGATGCTCAACTGGTAAAATCTATGCAAATATTCCAAACTGAAAAAATTTTAAATCTGAAACATTTCTGGTCCCAAGTATTTCAACCTGTATATATATTAATTTTAAAACTGAAGGAAAAATAACAAGTAAAAATGAGTCAAAGATTGTTTAAAAACACAAATAGACCAACAGGTAATAGGAGACAAATTTTCAAATAGAGAATTTGAAGGTTTCATGATATAGCTGAGAAGTCTTACCTGACACTTAGCACTACAGTATTTGGCAACTCGGCATTGAGAGCATCGCATCAACTTTTCCTTCCTGAATTAAAAAAAAAAAAAAAATCCATATTAGGAAATGAGTGAGAAATATATGGTTGAAGGAAGAGTATATAAATCAGCATGTTCTGTTTACTCCATATGTATGGTCCTTTAAATTTTCACACCAGCTGAAAGTGAACTGCAATGTGAGACATTTAAATAATGACTAATACTCTTGTTTAAATTGTGGTATAATAAGCCAGGCAGGGTGGTCCATGCCTGTAATCCCAGAAGCTTCAGAAGCTAAGGCAGGATGATTATGAGTTCAATGCCAGCCTCAGCAACTTAGCAAGTCCCTAAGAAACTCAGTGAGACTTTATCTTTAAATAAAATACAAAAAGGACTGGGAATGTGGCTCAGAGGTTGGGTGCCCCTGGGTTCAATCCCAAGTACCCAAAAAACAAAAACAAAAAATTGTGGTATAATATACATAACATAAAATTTTTACTTCAACCATTTTTAGCATACAGTGGCATTAAGTACATTCACAGTATTATACAACATATAACCACTACCACTGTTTTTTTAAAACTGTTTAATTAAAGTACAAATTTCTATTTAGACAAAAAAAATGCTTCATACAGACATTAATCTCTCTTTATTAAATTCAAAATCCAGAACGCGTATTACTTGGAAATACAGGTTGATTATCCCTTATCTGAAATGCTTGGGACCAGGACTGTTTTGAATTTGGGTTTTTTGTTTGTTTGTTTTGTTTTTTGTTATTATATTTGTGTATACATAATGAGATATCCTGGGGAATGAGACCCAAGTCTAAATCCTGAGGTAATTTTATACCATATTTTTAGTGTACTTATAATTTACCTGTCACACAAAGTCAGGTTTGAAATTTTCCATGTGTGCTGTCACGTCAACATGAGAAGTTTCAGATTTTAGCATTTTGGATTTTAGATTTCAGATCAGAGAAGCTCAACCTATATGTACTCTATACCCATAAAATGCAAGATTTTTATGTCTTCATTTTTAATATAACTTATTTATGAATATGCTCCTTCTGGGAAATTATTTTTAAATTCCATTAAATTTTATTACTACTTTAGAAATGCTGATTTGAGATGCTCCAAAATTATCTCCCCAAATCACCCAAATAACAACAAAAAAAAAAAAAACAGAAAAAGTTAAAGCTTGAATTATACAATAAAAATAATAAATCTGATGATAACATTAATAGTGACAAATACTGACAAGACAGTGAATAGTTTCATGGTGGCCAAGAATACTAGAAACCAAAGTGTAATATATCAATAACAAAGCAGAATGCCTTGTTCTAAGCATTAGGTTAGAACGTGTCACACACTAAGTTAATGTTCTTCAGATCTGGTAACCCATGCTACAACTGAAATAGTAATATAAGGTAGGCATTATTATGCCCACTTCAATACTTTCAAAGATAAAAAATAGACATTATGGTTCAAATTGACTATGGAAAATGCCATAGAGTGAATGTAGCAGGTGGTTCCAAAGGAACAGGATAGAAAATCAGAACCTGAATACACCAGAAGAGAAGTGAGGACTAGAGTATAAAACATGGGAGAGTGAAAGTCTAAATAAAGTAAAAAATGCCTCCCATTCTGCAATTATCAAACTCTAGCTACCAGATATCAACACCCCAGATAACAAATCAAATCCAACCTATCTGGCCCTAAAATTTTGCTTTTAATCACCATGTTATATAGTTACTCCTAGATAAAACTTGAAATAAATTCAGTTTACCCACAAGTTCTTTAAGAGATACACTTCAAGCAAAAGGACATATAATACAGGATGAGAAGGATATGCCAGGCAAAATTTAACTAGAAAAAAAGCTGTCACTATATCAATATCAGAAAAAGGAGACATTAAGCTCAAACCCATTATTAGAGATAAAGACAAAATGCAATGATAGAAGACCCTAGTCACAAGGTATTAATGTACCTAGTAACAAATGTACCAGTTTCAAAATACATACAGTACAAGTAACAGATCTAAATATATATATATATATATATATATATATATATATATATATATATATACACACACATACATACATACATATATATACACACATGCACATATATATATATATTAATACACAATATTTAATTTTTATGTAATGACCTTAAAATGACCTGGAATACATTAAGTCATGTGTAGGAAGGAGTTAGCTATTACTATAAAAAGCACCCATACCATAAATGACACCCATTGGTCATTTATTAAAAGTACTCATGCATACTAAGACACAAAGCAAATCTCAAAAATCCCAGAGAATCAATAATATAGATCATTTTCTCCAGCCATAAGGAATTAAATTAGAAATCTGTAACAAAAATAAACCCAGTAAAATCTCATATGCATAGGAATTTAAAAGCATACTTTCATATACCTCAAGGATCAAAGAAGAATTATAACAGAGATTAGAAAATATACTAAGACTAAATAACAGAAAAATATTCAAATTTGATAGGTAAACTTAAAGTAATACTTACTGGAGCATTTATAGCTTTATATGTTTAAAAAGAAGAAAAGTGATAATTAATGCTGCACATGCACATCAATAACTTAAATTTAAAAATAAGATAAAATCAAGGAAAGCATAAGGTAAGAAATTATAACCATAAGGCAATATTTTTAAAAAGATACAACTGAGGTATTGGAGTTGTGGCTCAGTAGTGCAGCACTTGCCTAGAATGTATGAGGCACTGGGTTCAATCCTCAGCAACACATAAAAGTAAATAAATAGTTATAAAAAAATTGGTTAATATATTTTTTAAAAAAAGATACAACTTGGGCTGGGGATGTGGCTCAAGAGGTAACGTGCTCACCTGGCATTCGCGGGGCGCTGGGTTTGATCCTCAGCACCACATAAAATAAAATAAAGATGTTGTGTCCACCGAAAACTAAAAAATAAATATTAAAAAAAACTCTCTCTCTCTCTCTCTCTCTCTCTCTCTCTCTCTCTCTCTCTCTCTCTCAAAAAAAAAAAAAAAAAAAAGATACAACTGAGTGGATTAACAAAACCAGAAAGGCAAATACCACCAATAATTCCTGTAAGATTATATAAGAAAAAGAAAATTCACAAATACATATTAAAAATAAAAGGGAATGTAAGAGTCAGTAGAAAACCAGGTGTGGTGACTTTGTGATCCTTGCAGCTCAGGAGGCAAGTTCAAAGCCAGCCTCAGCAACTTAGCATGGCCCTATGCAACTTAGTGAGGCCCTGACTCCATAAAAAGAGAGACAGGAGAGATTTTAAAACCTACAAGAAATAATTCTAGGAAAATGACAACTGTGGCACAATTTTTAATCTGCCTGACTTTCCCCAAATAACAAAACAAAGTAATAACAACAAAAACAGAAAATTCAGGCTGGACTTCTAGCTAAGTGGTAGAGAGCTTGCCTAGCATGTGTGAGGCACTGGGTTCAAACCTCAGCACCAATTTTAATAAATAAAATAAAGGTATTGTGTCCATTTATAACTAAAAATATTTAAAGAAGAGCCGGAGGAGGAGGAGGAGGAGGAGGAGGAGAAAAAGAAAGGAAGGAAGGAAGGGAGGGAGGGAGGGAGGAAGGAAGAAAGCAAAGAGAGCAAAACTCAACCACCAGTCCACCCTGGAAAATATCTACAACAAACCCAAAATATGAGTGGGAGAAGGAAGGGAGGGAGGGAGGGAAGGAAGGAAGGAAGGAAGGAGGGAAGGAAGGAAGGAAGGAAGGAAAACCCTGAATGAAATCAATAGCTTCACTGAGGAAACAACAGTCCCACTGGGGCTTCCAATACTCCTATAGCTCCAAACTGCCAAAAGATAACCAGTGTAGAGTGTGGAACCAAAACTGGCAATTCTTTCTGTTGGAACTCTCCTGAGGTTGAGATTATGTGGGCTCCCATGAATCTGCCTTCCTCAGACCTACCCTCTCAGACTTTCCCTCACTTCCCTTTTTCTTGTCTAAGTTATTTAAAGGCTATTACTGTGCCTAGAAATAAAAAGCCAAACTCTACAAAGTATTTTCTCTCTGTTCTAAAAATAATGAGCAGAATAAAAAGACCTAAGAAGATCAGTGATCAAATATCAATGCTTGGTCTACTGCCTCCCATCTCTACTAACCAGAGACCTTAATGCATCTTAACACAGAATACTGGCAAACTAAACAATAAATGATGCAAAGTAATTCAATAAGTTAGTTGCTATTTGTTGTGTGAGAGAAATTCCCTAACACATTATTTAAACATTTGGGTTTTTTAAAAATTAAAAATAAATTCAACGTCTCAAGTTTCAGGAGGGGGAAAAAAAAAAAGGTCAACTGAATCTAAGAAAAAGTTGAGTGTGCTTGATTAGACCAAAAACTGAGCCTCTGAAGAGCTCCTCCTCCTCCTCCTCCTCCTCCTCCTCCTCCTCCTTCAATATTTTTAGTTATAAATGGATACAATACCTTTATTTTATTTATTAAAATAAAAAATTAAAGCACCCTGGCAAGGATCCCTGCAAAGAAAACACTTTGGCAGCAGTGAGAGAGAAAAGGAGGTAGCAGAAACACAACTGCCACACATTTTATGAAAACATTCTTCTTTTCTCTTAAAAAATAAAATCAGCACATCATTTCCAAATGAAAAGCAAAGTCACATTTCTTGAAAATAGCAATGAAAAATGTCAAATCAAAACCAGAAATAATTAGCACTCTTCTGGGAAAAAGAGCACTTTTATTAGGTAGTTCTTGCTGCTGAAACAAGAAATACTGAACGGAAGTTGGAAAAAGGCAGATTTTATCTTATTAAAAAAATTTTTCTGATAACAACTGTTATAACAATCAAATGATATACTTTGTGAAGCATGGAGTTCCCAGTAACTTAACATGTTGAAAGAGAACCTAATAGGTACATTTGCTAGACATGGTGTGAAGGAAATTCCAGCACTGCAAAGGAAATTGAATCAGATGTTTTCTTCCAATTCCAAAATTATTTGGCTTTGCTTATCTTGTGCAACCAACAAATACAAACTA